GATAGACAGACAGATAGATAGATAGACAGGTGATAGACAGAGACAGACAGATAGATAGACAGACAGACAGATAGACAGAGACAGACATATAGATAGACAGAAAGACAGAGAGACAGATAGATAGATACAGATAGATAGACAGGTGATAGACAGACAGATATATATATATATACATATATAGATAGACAGATAGATAGATAGATAGATAGATAGATAGATAGATAGATAGATAGATAGATAGATAGATAGATAGATAGATAGACAGACAGACAGATAGATAGATAGATAGATAGATAGATAGATAGATAGATAGAGATAGATAGACAGATAGATAGATAGATAGACAGATAGATAGATAGACAGATAGATAGACAGATAGATAGACAGATAGATAGATAGATAGACAGACAGACAGACAGATAGATAGACAGATAGATAGATAGATAGATAGATAGATAGATAGATAGATAGATAGATAGATAGATAGATAGACAGATAGACAGATAGATAGACAGACAGGTGATAGACAGAGACAACAGATAGATTGACAGATATATATATATTTAGACAGACAGACAGACAGACAGGTAATAGACAGAGTCAGACAGATATATATATATATATATATATATATATATAGATAGATAGATAGATAGATAGATAGATAGATAGATAGACAGACAGACAGACAGACAGACAGGTGATAGACAGAGACAGACAGATAGACAGATAAATAGATCCTCCTAGGACCCAGGAATAGACTTTCGTCCACTATATGGACATTATATTTTTTGAATTTCTCAGATAACATGTCAGTTTTAAGTCTAGATATTATGTAAAGAGCACATTCAGAGATACCAAATGTTTGGAGGTTTCTCCATGACAACAACAACAACTCATTGGCCTTTAGAAATGACTGACATTAATTTAGTGATCAATTTTAGCACTCTTATGGAAATATGACATTTTGTAAATATAATTTAAATCTGACTAATTTTCAAATTGTTTTTTAAAAATCAACATTTCAGGAAAATGTTATGGGGTTTCTAATCAAAATATGACTTGCTGTTACAAGGGCATTGATTTCATACATGTCCACTGTAGAGGACACCACAACTTAAAGCATGTTTGTCAGCCATTTTGGGAGACACACCAAGTGAATAGGGAAAGCAATTACATATCAATATTCCTATGATTCCAATATTAGATATTATTATGAAAATGTTGCCAATTATTACTCCCATTATTACACGTCTTTATTCATTACATGATGCCCCAAGAACACATTACGCAGATTAGATACAGTGTAGATACTCCTTTTTGCACTGTATGATGTGTTATATGGACCTGTGTCTGGAATAAAGCTTTATTATTGTATCGAATGGGACTACACATTTATGGCCATTTTACACATACTGCATAAAGTAAAAAGGTAGCCTATATCAGTTCATTCTGTTATATCTTTGATAACAAAGTTGAGAATCATCTTTATACAAAGTTGGGTTAAAAAAAAATCCTGAAATCCTTATTTCTTATGGTCTAAACTCAGTGTAATGACAAATAATACAAAATTAAAAACCTTTTTTTTTTTCTGGGTCTCAGAAGTAGAATAAATAGATTAGATTGATTTCTAATTTTTTACATTAATTTCAAGCAAACTTAGGCCTATAACATTTACTGAGTATACTGAAGGCCATCCCTTTCGATCTACAAACTTTTGACGCCCCACTCAGTGTTTGCAAAAATCACTTGACATTTCATTTGAATTGCACAGGCAGAACAATTAACAGCATTACAACACGCATCAGTCAACAGATATGATGCTGTACTGCGCTTTTACAACACACTAAAGAATTCATGACCTTTTTATGGATACAACGTTCAAAAGAAGACTTTGATGGCTCCTCATGAGGGGTCAAAATCTGAAGAAATGGCCACCGTAAATGTAAGAAGGAGAATAAATACAGGCGGAGCATGTGATGCTGGCACAGGACCAGACACTTCAAATCTACAGCAAATCTGAAGTAAATGCTTTTTAAATTCAGGGATTCGACGTCACAAAAAAGTCCTTCAACTTTTTCTGTCTTTCACTTATTGCTCTCTAGGAGATCCATCGCTCACCCGTCCCGTACAGTCATTTAGTTAATCGGGTATTGGTTAACGCGCTGCAAATCTTTCAACCAACACAAACACCATGTTAATATCCACTATCTTCCTACGCAATATGTATATATACAAAAGCATTTTAAAAGGAAAAGTCTAGGTTTTTTTTAGTTTTTTTTTTTTACATAACATTTCAAAATATGCCTTATTTAAGATGAGTATTTAAATGATTTACTTTAGCATTCATTAGACTTTTGGAGAGACTCATCCACTCCTTTCAGAAAGGTTTTATTGTGCTTTATATCTTAATGGTCCCTCATTTTTCGGGTCCCCCAGGGTGAAGGGGGGATGAGGGTGAGCGCTCAGGAACAGACGTGCCTGAATCAGCGTTCCTCCCTCCTGTTAGAGATGAGTGGACTCTGCCCCGCTGAACCTCATGCTCGCTTGCTCTGCTCTTCGCAGGAATCACACGTTCCGTCCTCTTCTTCATCCTGATTGCACTCCTCCTGCTGCTTTTCTCTCTCATGCCTCAGTGACCCCGGGGCCCCAGAGGGCCAAAGTCAATCAAGGTATCAGGTCAAACTAAAACTCGCAGATAATTTCGTTACAGCTTTTTAGTCGCTGTCATTGCTCTAGCCATTCAAGACATTTAATGTTACTTTTCTACAACGTTAACAGAATTTTATAATATCCAATAATAATAACTCAAAGTATGTTATTGAACATTTGTAAAAATGCAAAAGATTTCAAAACGGTCTTCCTGGCAATTAGGTGTTGTTGCGCTCAAGCAAATTGATAGATATAACACCCACACACATGTTTTATGGGGACATTCCAGATATAATGATTTTTATATTGTAGAGACTGTATATTCTATCAGAAAACTGCAGTTTTACATTATAAAAAAAAAAAAAAAAAAAAAAAAAAAAGATAAAATAATTTAATGTGATTTAAAAGCTGTTTGCCTTATGGGGACCAAAACATTTCCCCACAAGGAGAAAGATTTCAGATATTGCCATGTTGTGGGGACATTTTTATGTACGTATACCTCCCTACCTACGCAAGTACCTACCTACCTACACTGCAAAAAAAGTTTTTTTTAAGTACAATCAACTTGAATGTTTAAGTCATTTCAACTTAAATTACATTAAACTGACCACATTTTTTAAATTTTTGTAAAACTTATGTAAAAAGTTGAAAATTGCTTAACTTATTTTCATGAGTTAAAGCAATGTAAAAACGTATGTTGTCATAACTTATTGATCATATAATTTTTTTCAGTGTACCTACATAAGTACCTACCAACCTACGTACATACCTATCTACGTACATATACGTACCTATCTACGCAAGTATACCTACCTACGTGCATATATACCTACGTATATGTACGTAATGTATATATCTACCTACCTATGTACATATAAGTACCCATCTACGTATTTATACCTACCTACTGTACATATATACCTACCTACGTACTATATGTATATCTACCTTATCCATCATAGGTGCTTCTTATAAAGATGATTTGATACCAATGTTCCTGTAAATTTTCACTTCTGATCCACAACTATGAAATTATTTACTACCGGTATACAAAATCATGGTAACAGGGTTGACAATTTTAACAGGGTCGTCCCATTACGACAAGCACAAAACAAACAAAAAACGTTTTAAGTCCAACAAAAGAAAATTTAAAAAATGAATTGAAGGGAACACAATATTTCAATATGTTCTCTAAATGTAATTGTCTATGGAAAAACACAATGCGTTGTATTAGAAACATTCATGGTTTGAAAAACAACTCCCAACAGTTATACGTTTCATTCTACAAAAAAAGTAGCTTGAACCGCTAGAATATGAAAATTTCTTTTAATGTACCTCCTGATCACACTGCACAAAAGTGATGGCCTTCCTCAGTATTTTTGTCTTTTCCAGTGGAAATGTCTCAAGATTCTTAAATTAGATACATTTGCTGGAGATGCAAGTTGACAACATATGAAGTCTTGTTTTCTGTGAAACTGATGAAAATGAAGTGAGTTTATGTTTTAAATAAGAACAAATATCTGCCAGTGGGATTAGAAAAATCATGATTTGTGTAAGGGTCAATTAAGACTTTTCAAGACCTTTTAAGACCCACAGAAACCCTGCTATTTGTAATCAACTGGTGATTTTTAGTAAATGCATCAAGTCAGTTCTCGACAAGTTTACACAGGGGTATTCAATATCAACACGTTCCAATAACATTTCACATCCAGAAAGTGTCCATATACTCGGTTTATAAAAAAATAATGATCTGTAGTGGTAACCTAATGATTAAGCAAATGGCTGCTAATACAAATTACTGATTCCAAGAATGACTGATTTAGGAATGGAAGTTATAGTAAGACCAGGTATAACTGAAGACCAAGTAAAAGTTGCCACAAGGGACAGGAGCAACTGACTGTAAATTGCTTTGAAAGAAAATGGTGAGCACTACTTTTAGAGGTTGTAACCATGAGATTTCCAAAATTGCTACAATGGGATATGTGCAAATAAAATGTCTGAAATGATTCTTAAATGCTATATGCATGTACAGTATTTTGCTAACTGAATATCTGCATTAGTCCAATATACAGTAATAACTGTTTAAAAAAAACATTGTATAATGCGAAACAAACACGCACACTAAAGCAGTTTTTGAATAACTTCCTATTCTGTGCAGACATGCTCACCATAATGATTCAGAACAATGATCTCCTTCTGAAATTAATATTTCATATCAGGTTTTAACTGAGAACTTGAAAAAAGGAACACTTGAATACTGCAAGCGTGTTTTTACTTGCGTCAAATCATTCAAGTGAAATTAGTTTTCTGGTGTAACTTGAGACTCAACGGGAATTTTCTTTTGATACTTTGATAATATATGTTAAAATATACATTTTGAATAAAATATAAAGGTGGTTATAACGTCAGACAGTCAATCCGTATGGCTTCATCGGTGCTTTTTTACTTTCACTTTGGTGATTTGCTGAGCTGAAGGGAGGAATCGTTGCTGTCCGATTCTTTTATTTCCTCAAAGTTCCTCACTACATCCTCAAGGAAACTCACCACAGTCTTCAGATCCTCACTGCGGTCCAACACAGTCTCTTCTAGCGGTCCCTTCAGCCTGGTCAGTGTCTCGTTGAGCACCATCAACCCATCTTCAGGCGCAGCGTGATCCACTGCCTCCTCCCCTGCAGGACCGTCAACCAAAGCCACGTCCTTATCGCCAAGGTAACGAACCAGGAAGTCCTGTAGCACTGGCCTGGATTGGTCACTCAGTGATGACCTCAGCGCTGGAAGGTCCTCAGGCTGGCATACGGACAGGAGGTGCAGGAGAGCACGGCAGAGCTGCGAGCGTAAACTAGCACAGTATCGATACTCCAGGAAGTCTTCCGTATCTTCACTGTGTTCGAGGGCCTGAGCCAAAGCTTGCCACACCTCGGCAAACTGGTGAACATCACCGTAGCAATCTCGCGTCGAGGGAACAGAAAGTGCAGCGGCGGATTTGATGCGTACTTTGAAGTTCTTGCAGGAAGTGACGACGTAGGAAAGGGCAGAGTAAGCTTCCTTAGACCAGACAGCAGAACCTGCGAGGGAAGTGGTGGCGTGTTAAGGTGCGTTCACAACATTATTACCAGATTCTGACTTCTCGTAAAGTTTTACAAGAATGGGAACACTTTTTACTTGTACCACGTGACCACAGAAAAACCAAAACACTCTAACAACCAACTCCTCAAATAAGGGGGATAGTTCCTAGAACTATTGGTGGAAGAACTTTTGGCGTTTTTGCACCGCAGGTTTAATTCTAGGAATGCTTTTTGGGGGAACTTAATTAGCACCTACTTCAGAGTAGGGTCTAACCCAGAACAATAGGAACTACCAGTGACATTAGTGTACGCTGATTGGCTGAACGCATACGAAACACCGGCACCTGCCATTTAAAAAAAAAAAAGCTGTGTACACACATAGATTATAGCCTATATATTGACACGGCAAACGCTAATACTTTTTCATTTACTGTCTACTTTTTATACGTTTTTTACTAGTTTTATCTAATAACGTATTAGACAGGAATGTTAAACAAATAGTAAACTAATGAGCACGGAGAATGCAAGTACTGTGTGCTCAGGATCTGGCGTTCTCAGTGCCGTCAAAAGGTCACAACAAGTGCAGCTTACATCACTTCAGAGTTCCTACTGGAAGTGGGAATGCAACCAGGAAAATGAAACATTTAGTTATCAGGGAACCACTTTAGTGGCTAGATCCTATAACTAAAGTTCCTAGAACTACCCAGTACGAAAGGGGCTAAAAAGAACAAATATCCCAAGTGTTCTGAGGCCATAACAATTGATTTGTGTGAAGAACAGACTCAAAAGTGGTCACCGTGTCCATCCGCCGTAGATCCTGTGCAAACATTAAAAAGTTACCTCTCGAAGAAGCTTTGATTGTGGAATGGCATTGGCTCTTGTGCGTCTCGTGACCAATTGCATCATGCTAAAGAGCCGGGTGTCCCTTTTGTATTAGATATAACTGTGTGCGTTCATGGAACGGGATCATTTTCAGCCAAGGGTTTGAAATGTACGCATGGTAACGCATATCATCACACTACCCAATTTGGTGGGTTGTGATTCGTAAATTATGTTCCCTAAAAGGAGCCTAAAACATTAGCAAAACAATGTGTAAAAAGGGTCGCACACTGAGAGAAAAGCTGCGCAATTTTTTCCTTAAAATTCGAACACATTGTTTTCTATGACCGTAACCAGAAACCAGGTTTCTCATTGAAAGCAATGGAGTACCCTGCACATCGAAAAATGACACTAAAGGGGTTCCCCTTTTCATTAAAAAGTGGTGCCGAGGGGTCCTGACCAACCGTCAATATGTGACGAGTTGGAAGTGAGAATGTGTTACAACGATTCGCAGTAGAAAATCACACGTTGTCATCTCGTAATTACGGTAATTATGACATGGCATAAACGAAGCATTAGCTCAATGTCATGTGGTTCCTTACTAGGCTAAATGAACCCACCCACAATCCTCTATGATATTCTGATCTCTAGATGGTGATTGACAAATAAAGCCCAAAGTATACTTCAGTTTTCACGCAAACACTTAGCATACAAGTACAGTTGAATGCAAAACCTTTACAAGTTTACTTCATTTGAAAGGGCACACTCGCAAGTTTCATCTCAGTTTTCCCCAGATTATCAATTAGGAATGATACAAATTGTCCTCGTTTAAACTAGAGTTGTGGGTAACACAAGTGCTCAATGCGGGCGTCTACTGTTGCTGCCATCTCCAGCATAGATATCCATAATAAAGGCTAGATGTCTCGTCCGCGCTGCTGGCCAATGGAGGTCGACGTCCGCACCTGGCGGCCATCTTGTCACAGGCAGCTCGCTCACTCGTAACATTGTGTTAATGGTGCATGTACTTTTTAAATAACCATAACTTGCTCAATTTTCTACCCATTTTCAACGGTTTGGTTTATTATAAATGTCAGAGATGTAGTTATGACACTGCATACTTATGCTAATTATTATTGTGTATAATAAATAATCATCCAGAATTATAGCCATGTTAATAACATTTGTAAGAAACCAAACGTTTGTAAATCCGTCAAGATTTCAACGAGATAAGAGCATTTGTGTTCGTGCTGATCACTCATCTTACATCAGGCACCACAGAGCCCGCCAGAAAGCTTGCCTGTGACAAGATGGCCGACGGTGATGACGATAGAGACTCCGCCGTAAGACATCTAGCCTTTATTATGGATATCTATGGTCTGCAGTAGTTTTTTTTTCTTTTTTTTTCTCTATTTTTTTTTCTAACCATGAAACAATGGGCCGGGCCAGGGGTGCCACCTTGTGGACCAACTAATTATTGCACATGTGAGCTAAGTGAAAGAGTACGCAGAAGAGTTTGCACGGTTAGAACATTTGTGAACAATGCGCACAAGCTATGCTTTGGACAAAATGTACGCCACACACACTGTACGCTTACTACAGCTGTGCGATTCTGGATAAATTGAGAATCACTATTTTTTTGTTTAAAAAAACCTAAAATATGAAAAAAATTAAGTCACTTGTTGCCACCTACTGGTGTAACTATGTCATTGATACTTTCAAAAGGCTTCATTCTGATTTGAGGACAGTTAGTTACATCACGCTGACATATTTGAAATGTAAGCCTCCTGAAATTTACCCCAAGAATAAGCGATAATAATAGTGATTTCTTCCTTAGAAAACACCACTAATCATTGCAAAAAGTTTTTTTTTTGGTGTGTTCACTCACCTAGAGGCAGGCTGCGGTTTCTGAAGGTATTGCCCAGTGCGTAGCAGGCGTTCCAGCGCACTTTCATGGTAGCATCTCCTCTAACCGTCTCGATCAGTGCCGTCATGGCCTCCTGCAGAGGCTGCTCAAACACAGGCTTTCCCAGGTGCACCGGCTGCAGGAAGTGAAGCAGATTCCCGAGCGCACGGACAGCATTGCTCTTTACCTGCGGCACAGGAAACTCTTATCTTCTAGGAGTTCATTCTACTTACAGCATTACTCTATGGTACAATATAAAAATATGGCTTTTGTTTCTGCCCCTAATGAGGATGCCACAATATTCAAAATGTAACTGATAAGCTGATAAGTAAATGTTATGGCTGTTAACACCATAGATCGATAAATGAGCATTAGAATAGTAATTAAGAACTGAAATGCGTTTTAATTACAGCAGTAATTAGTAAAGTTCTTTCAAGTGATGAATTTAAAGGAATAGTTCACTTAAATAATTTTACTCACCCTCAAGTTGTTTCAAACCTGTATGAATTTCTTTCTTCTGCTGAACACAAAGGAAGACATTTTGAAGAATGTCGGTAACCAAACAGTTCATGGACCCCACTGACTTCCATAGTAGACATTCTTCAAAATATCTTCTTTTGTGTTCAGCAGAAGAAAGAAATTCATACAGGTTTGAAACAACTTGAGGGTGAGTAAATGTTTATTTTTAAGTGAACTATTCCTTTAAACTAATCTTTATGCATGAATGCACAGATTTACATTTACAAAGCAACTCTTAAAGGGATAGCGTTATAACAGAGCAAGCACTCTTCAAGAAAAGGTGGTCTTTAATGGGTTAAATCAGGTAAATGTCCAGTTAAATGTCAATAAAATACATATCCAATATCAACTGATAAAATAATGACAATAAAAAAACTTTGAAATGGAAAGCTAAAAGCTACACATAACTTAAAGTACACTGAACAAAATTATAAATGCCAGCCTAAGGCACACCTGTGCAATAATCATGCTGTCTAATCTTGATATGCATCTTGATATGCCACACCTGTGAGGTGGATGGATTATCTCGGCAAAGGAGAAGTGCTCACTAACACAGATTTAGACAGATTTGTGAACAATATTTGAGAGAAATAGGCCTTTTGTGTACATAGAAAAGGTCTTAGATCTTTGAGTTCAGCTCATGAAAAATGGGGGCAGAAACAAAAGTGTTGCGTTTATAATTTTGTTCAGCGTAGTTTAACTCTAGTCAACCTACTCTTCTGAAAGTTTTCTAGACTAAAAGTAACAACAATTGCCAATCTGTTCAAACTATATGTAAATATGCATTACTGGTGAAAAGTTTGGGTAAGAATTTTTTGTTGTTGTTGAAAGAAATGAATTCTTGTACTCAGCAAGGATGCATTAAATTGGTCAAAAGTGACAGTAAAGACATTTATAATGTCACAAAAGATTAATAATTCATATAAATGCTGATCTTTTGAACTTTTTTCATCATCAAAGAATCCAGACAAAAAAAAAAACAGCAACAACTGTGATAATAATAAGACATTTTTCTTGAGCAGCTAAATATATACAGTATATATATTACATTTAATTTGATAACTTTCAAGGGGAAGAACGTTATAACATTTTCACTTAAAATTTGAGGGGGGTTTTGGGATATTATCTGCCCTAATAAAACATCTTATTTTAACAAATGCCTCACTCTCTCCAAAACCAGTATTTATATCAGGCAGTCCTAGTCCCAAAATCTTAAATGTTTGTATCATTTAGCATAGTCACAAAATTGATTCTGCCTTGATACTTGTAGAAAGTTAAACATAAAGTACATGTAAAAGACTTTTTGGCATCACTAATAAAAAATTTAAAACAAGTACCCACCCTGTCTTTATCTCCTGAAGCTTTAGTGGCAGATCTCAACATGTTCAGCAGCAGCATATCAGAGAACTCCTCCTGAAACTCCAGTCCCACTGACTGCCTGAGAACAACAGATGAGCAAAGGAAAACCATCAGTCTGCGAGATTTATGGAGCAAACACATACACACAGATGTGACCGCTCTCACATGTTGACAATGAGCGTGTCGGTGAGGTTGCCGAGAGACCAGGCCGCCTTGGCACGGACGTTAGGCGAGCGGTCATCCAGAGCGGTGAGGATGGCATTAGCCGTGTCTGCCACAAACATCACATCCTGTGGTCGTCAAAAAAATAAAGTTAAATCAATCATCCTTTTGAGATGGGCACTATTTTTTTTGTTGGATAAAGGTGGATTTACTTATAGTTAAACTTGTAAATGTATATATTTAACCCTCATCCTTCCCTCGCACTTTGTAACACATCTTTCCCACGCGGGTCAAAATTACCTGAAGCCCTTAAAGGATTAGTTCACTTTTAAAAAAACTTTTGCTGATAATTTACTCACCCCCATGTCATCCAAGATGTCCATGTCTTTCTTTCTTCAGGCGAAAAGAAATTAAGGTTTTTGATGAAAACATTCCAGGATTTTTCTCCATATAATGCACTTTGCTGGGCACCAAACGGTTCAAGGTCCAAAAGAAAGTTTCAGTGCAAACTGCAAACTGTTCAAAGGGCTTTAAACGATTCCAGACGATGAATAAGGGTCTTATCAAGCGAAACGATCGCTCATTTAAAAAAGAAATAACAAAGTTTAAGTTTTATAAGCTCAAATGCTCGCCTTGCTCTGTTCTGTGTGACTCTCCTGTTCGAACTCGTTCATCAAAATTAACGAATCTTTTTCCGAGTCAATTCGTTCATTTTGTTCGTTAAATGAACCAAATGACTCGAAAAAAGATTTGTTCATTTTGATGAACGAGTTCGAACAGGAGAGTCACGAACGTGCATCACAGAACAGAGCAAGGCGAGCATTTGACATTATTAAACTTAAACTTTGTTATTTATTTTTTAAATGAGCGATCGTTTCGCTTGATAAGACCATTATTCATCGTCTGGAATCGTTTAAAGCCCTTTGAACAGTTTGCAGTTTGCACTGAAACTGTCTTTTGGACCTTGAACCGTTTGGTGCCCAGCAAAGTGCATTATATGGAGAAAAATCCTGGAATGTTTTCATCAAAAACCTTAATTTCTTTTCGACTGAAGAAAGAAAGACATGGACATCTTGGATGACATGGGGGTGAGTAAATTATTAGCAAAAGTTTTTTTAAAAGTGAACTAATCCTTTAAATTATACTTAACTTTTGTTCTTTTTTATTTTATTTACCGTTACATTACTAGATTTATAGATCAATAAATAAATAAATAGTAATTTAAGCACATTCCTCACACTCAAAATAACTGAATTTCATGCATAACCCTTTTAAGTTCAGCTCAAAATATCTTACATTGGGTGTTTCTGTCGACCTCTAGTGAAAAAATGTATAATATAACATGATATTTCATGACTCTTGCCACTAGATGGCCTTATAGATCTATTTGGAGCAAATGAGCTGTTCCGCTGTGTCCTAAATTCAGTTTCTCTTCAGTATGCATTCAGATACACATGCAGACATTATAAAATAATTTTTTGTTAAAGTTTTAGCATTTTTAGTTTGAATTGTGTACTGAATCATTCCTCGCATCACATTCATTCCTAAGGGGGTCAAATTGACCCGCGAGGGAAGGATTGGTTACTTTTTAAAATTTCAACCACAAAACTCCTCGAATCCATTCTTTTTTTTTTTTTTTTGTATTCGTGGTTCAAGTGCGACAAAAGTTCTAGGGTCTTGGAATGACCCGAGGGAAGGATGAGGGTGAATGATTTGTAATTTTTAAAAAATATTATTAAAAATAAAGTAAAAAAAAATCAATCAATTAAAATAAAATTTAAATAAATGATTAAATAAATACATAAATAAACAATTAAAAATGAGAAGTGAAGCTCTGATTATACGAGTAGGCTGATCCTGTACCTCTCTCAGGCAGGGAAACAGGATGTAGACACCTAGAGCTCTCACCGCTGCCGACTTCACCAGAGAGTTCTCGCTGTACGTCAGTCCCAGCAGTAACGTGATACACAGCACTTGTGTCTTATCCTGGAGGGATTCATACACGCGAATATCACAAACACATTTTATAATGTTCGATCGAAAGACTTCCTGAACACCTGTAAACTCAAGAGCTCAAACACACTCACGGGCAGCTGGCTGAAAGCCTGTGGCAAGATGGAGGAGATGGTGTCACACGCACTGGTCTGTAGGGTGGGATGCTGCTCGTTCTGTAAGGCACTGATCAGTGGACCACTCAAGACTTCCGACCAGAACTGAACCACCTGCAAATCATCAAGATAATGATCTTTGAATTCAGTTTTGTTTTCTACCACGTCACATACACCGTTTAAAAAAAAAGAAAAGAATTTACTACCTGGCATACAGGCACAAGTTTGGCACTTTGTGGAGTGTTGGCATCAGCTCTGTACTGCTGGATAATGCCTGTTCCCAGTTCTTCCAGAAGCTTGGGAAAGGAACAGATAATAATAATAATAGCGATATTTCCCTTAACAAGCACCAGTAATGAAAAAAACAACAAAAAAACTAAGATCTGGTACTTTAGCGCCATGAAGTTGCACAGATGGCTCTTGCTCTGCGAGACAGCGGGCACTGAGTCGTCCCAACTCCAACAGAGACGTTTGAGCCAATGAGAAGTAACCCTTAACCAGATGAGCCAAAACCTGAAATAAACCACAGGCGAACATTTAAAGACAAGCGTTTCAAGAAGCACAAATTCTTCACATCTTCACGAACGGACCACTCACCTGCAGGGCTTCAAGTCGAACAGGTGAAGGTTCCAGCGATGCTCCGCTAGACCCCCCCGCGTCACTATCAGAGTACGGTTCCTCACGAGGCTGCGTGACCAGACTCACGCACAGCTGTAACAGCCAGCACGGCCCCTCCGGACCCCCCTCAACCCCTCCTCCAGGAGACGAGGTACCGGGACGTCTCCAGTTGTGAGAGAGCTCCTGCGGGGTCCTGACGCCGGGGCTGTTGAAGGCCGATGTGGATCCGGGCTGCTGGAGGAGGAGCTGGATCTCAGGGAGGGGGGCTTGTGTTGAGACCAATGCACCGAAGAGAGTGAGACAGGACACGCGGACATTCACATCTAAGATGGGAGGAAGAGACGGGATTGTGAATGTTTGAACTGGATGGATTTTTAGCAATTATCAGGGCAAGCACTGAACACCTGGACATTTTAAAGGGTTAGTTCACCCCTAAATAAAAACTGTGTCATTTTACTCACCCTCATGTCGTTCCAAACCCATAAGACTTTGGTTAAAGGGGTCCTTGATTATGATTGCACTTATTTCACTTTAGTTAGAGTGTAATGTTGCTGTTTGAGCATAAACAACATCTGCAAAGTTACAACGCTCAAAAGTTCAATGCAAAGGGAGATATTTTCTTTTACAGAAATCGCTTTTTAAGGACTACAACAAATGGCTGGTAGGGACTACAACGAGCTTCTTCTCGGGTTGGTGACATCACAGACCCTAAAATTTACATAAACCCCACCCCGGGAACACGCAACAAAGGGGGTGAGGCTATATTGGGCTGCTATAGAGAAGAGGAAGAGGAGTTGTCGCCGGAAACATTTGTTAAAATTTTTTTTTAACTCTGTTCCTGAACATTATTACCACAACGTTGGCACATTTTATGGAGAGCAGCTTCCAGAAGAGAGTACAATGCAGGCTATACACACACAAAAGCTTCTCCTGAAAGACGGAGCCATTCCCATTTTGTTGTGACAATCTGTTGTTTATGGATCACAACTTGTAAGTATGTCTTATTATCTGTAGTTGTGTTTTCCATTAGCAGTTCCAATTATAAGCTTTATGTAGTTGCTATGATAGCTATGATGTGAAAGGCAAAGGTTTGCCTCCGCTAACCTGCTCACTAACATTACAGTATTGTCATTTAATTATTGTAGTTTTCCGACAAATATGATTAAATGGTGGATAACATCGTATCTATAAGAAAATGACCAAAAAAACATACCACTCTGAAAAGTCCTGTGAAATCCGTGCTTGAAATCCGTTCAGCACAATCCTCGTTTGTATGGCAAGCCGTTTTAGCTTTAATTGTACCCAGCCTTACTCGGCGTAATTACATTTTTACTAGTAATAATTCAATTAGAGAGCTCTACAATTCAATTCTTAGGGACTGTTCGTTATTTATTTAAGGGGCCACCGGAGGAGATTTGAGATCTGTAGTCAAAAAAGACTTGACCCTCCCTTCGCCAGCAATAATTTTTTATATGACCCTCCAAAATGATTGTGAAAAAAGGCATGACCCTCCCCGATAATTTATTGATTAGGCTACTTTTCTGGTTTGCGCTTGGCAAAGATGTTCAGATAGCTATTCCATGATAAACGACTAAACTCCTGCTTTCTCATCTTGCTGTAATGATACACCAAACCTACAATTCGGTTCGTATCACAATTTTTGATTTGAAAAAAAAAAATCATGTTTTCGGGGCTGATGCAGTGGTGACGCGTTCATGTAAAATAAGGGCGCTGCCAATACAGTATCTTAAAGCTGCCACAAAGAACCAGCAAAAGTAACGATTATGAATAATATAGCAAGGGGACATTTTAATTTGTCAGTGTCGGTTGCAAATATAAAGGTGACGATACTGACTCGCGATCTTCGCAATAGTGAAAGCGCCAGAGAGAAATGCACATTTCGGATTACATAAGCAGAGAGCAGTCTGTCTGTTTTGTTTCGTTTTGAATTATTCTGTTAAAAAGTAGACATGTCAAGCTTTCTATTAGGGGTGTGCAAAGCAGCCGGTATTTGTATCTGTATTTGTATTTGTTGAGGGGGGAAAAGTATTTGTATTTGTATTCGTATTCGAGTAAAATTCAAAATAGGCCTAAAAATCTATTTGGGGGGGGGGGGGGGGGGTGGGGGGGGGGCGTGCTTTCATAACGCACACACGCAAGGTCTCTCGCTCTCTCCCTCTCTTCCGTGCGCGCGCTACACGGTGTGGAGCACAGTATGTTCTGTCTCGCATGCGCGTTAGATTCCGGGAGATTTGAACTAATTTCAGGGAGCCGCTATCAATAGAGACTTGGGATGTCTGCGTACCATATAACTCCCACAAGTGCATACAATTCGACACAACTACACAAGCATTTTTTAACCTTTTTAACCGAACGTTAACATTACTCTGCCAACAGCCTATATTGTCTAAATTACAGAGCTACGTAAACAGAGCGAACATGAGAGCATCCGACTGCAGCGTAATGGAATAATCTCCCGATCAAACTCCGCTTCCCGAAAGTTATAAACTGCTTCCGGAACCCAGTTAAGGTACAAAAATCTATTCAACAAAAATACTGATGCAGTTAAGTGTTTTTTCGCTCAGCCGAGCCCTCTCTGTTGCTGTGTCTGTGGAGCAGCCTGTGTCAGTCACCTCTTCCTGAACGTCAGTCACTCACTCAAACTCACTCATCCATGCATGCACTGCGGTCTCGTGAGGAAACGCAGCTTTTTGATATTAAGTTTTTCTTGTTCCCGAATACAAATTTTTTTTTAAGTATTTGTTCAAAATAACTATTCGTAAAAAACACGTTATTTGTACCTTTCCGAATACCGTATTCGGGTTCGGCTCATATATTTATCAGATCTGTGAGGCAAGTAGCCTACTACAGCCTATATGATGTTTCGGTTAATTTATTTGACAAGAGTCCAGTTCACACGCAGGCGCCTCCGTGTCATGATGATTTTCTACTATTTACTTCTTATATATTAAATCCAGACAATTTGTTGATGAAACATTGATTAAAATTAAGATACAATTTATGCAAAACGAAATTCACTTTAAAGAAAGGCTTTCTACAAAACAACACTTAATAAAGTGGTCAAAATCATGGCTGGCCATGTCTCCCGATATATTGCGTAGGCTATACTTTTCATAATTAACATAGATGGAAAAAAAACATTATAATATGAAAATGCGCTTATTATGGCTAACACATATACTTTTTGTAATTTTTTGTAATGCAGCAATTTTTCCTATTTGTACAAATTGCTGCACATTTATTAAATTCTGAATTTTGCACACAAGTTGAAAGGCATGTGTTTGTGCATATTAAAACATATCTGCAACATTTATCAAGTTCACTGATAATTGTGCATGCATTTATTAATCATTATGATACTAAAATCATAATAAAGTAGTAGGCTTCCCTTTCAATAGTCCCAATTCGCGGTGGCGCTGCCATTTTCGTCTTTCTTCTGTGGATTTCTTCAGCTCCTGGTTGGTCAAATTCAGATAGATCGACACATCGGCTCATTCAACCGCACAGCGCACACACCTCACGAATTCAAGCCTACAGCTCCCGAACTTTTTAGACATGTTTAAAAATTATCGTGAGGTCGAGATGTTCGGCTCGGCTCGTATCTTCCTAGCACACGACATGAGCCGCAACATGCGAGCACAACCGATTTCCACGCGATTTCTCCCGAGTGAAAAAAAATCATCTGCGAGCTCGTAAAACAGCAACAACAAAAAAATCGCACCGTGTAAGCCGCCTTGGAGTATAAATATATATACAGGCGTTTCAGTATTAAATGCATTTTCTGAGAATTTATATTTCATGTTTTGACAGCAAATGTGACATCCATAACGCTGGAATTGCCCAATTTTAAAGAATTTATCCTCAACTAGTTTTTTGGTGTAGGTCTATTTTATTATGTTAACTTCAAATACGTAATACTAATAGTAATTTAAAAATGTGGTAGCCCTATGTCCAACACATCACACTCCACTGTTATGGGGGCAATTTCAGTAGATTTGCTCACTAACATTGTTGTGGAAACACAATAAGAATGGAAACTGAAATATGGTAGTATCGTGCTACAGCGCACATTATATCAGCTGCAGTTCTGGCGCCTCAGTCCCAATACTGTAAAACTCGACGTACATTCACATCACATGTTAATGCAGCGGTAGAGTTACACTCACAGGACACTGCACTTATTCGCAATCCCAAAAGTTCATTATTTGCTCGTGCTTTAAAGCTTTGCCGGGTAAACATTACTTTGGCGTTCTGTTCTAATACACTTTTTCTGAGCGCGTACTGAAGTGCGCGTGCACTGTCAAACAGCGCCAAACTAGATTTTTGTTGGGTCAGACCATAGATAGCGATGGGGGGCCGAGACCGAGAGAGCTACATAAAGCTACATGGAAAAAATATGCACCAAACAAGCCACTTTGAAATGTAGCTGTTTTGATGAATACAAAAGTTGGGTGACCCTCCCCTATAGACTAAAAAAGTTGGATGACCCTCCCCTCAACAAAGAATAAAAAGACATGACCCTCCCCTATTTTCCTCCGGTGGCCCTTTCCATAAATACCGAAAGGTCCCTTACTAGTAACAATTACAATTAGAGAGCTCTCTAATTCGATTATTACTAGTAACAATTACAATTAGAGAGCTCTCTAATTCAATTATTACTAGTAAGAATTACAATTAGAGAGCTCTCTAATTCAATTCTTACTAGTAAGAATTACAATTAGAGAGCTCTCTAATTCAATTCTTACTAGTAACAATTATTATTAGAGAGCTCTCTAATTCAATTATTACTAGTAAGAATTACAATTACAGAGCTCTCTAATTCAATTCTTACTAGTAACAATTGCAATTAGAGAGCTCTACAAATGAATTTTTACTAGTCATATGTCTCCATTGACTTCCATTCATTTTTACTTAGAGAGCTCTATAATTGAATTGTTACTAGTAAGAATTACAATTAGAGAGCTCTCTAATTCAATTATTACTAGTAAGAATTACAATTAGAGAGCTCTCTAATCCAATTCTTACTAGTAACAATTACAATTAGAGAGCTCTCTAATTCAATTCTTACTAGTAACAATTACAATTAGAGAGCTCTCTAATTCAATTCTTACTAGTAAGAATACAATTGCAGAGCTCTACAATTGCATTCTTACTAGTAACAATTGAAATAGAGAGCTCTCTAATTGAATTAAAGAGCTCTGCAATTGAGTTGTTACTAGTAAGAATTGAATTAGAGAGCTCTCTAATTGTAATTCTTACTAGTAACAATTGCATTAGAGAGCTCTCTAATTGAATTGTTACTAGTAAGAATGCAATTAGAGAGCTCTATAATTAAATTACAGAGCTCTTTAATTGTAATTGTTACTAGTAACAATTCAATTAGAGAGCTCTACAATTAAATTGTTACTAGTAAGAATTGAATTAGAGAGCTCTCTAATTGTAATTGTTACTAGTAACAATTGAATTACAGAGCTCTCTAATGGTAATTCTTACTAGTAACAATTCAATTGTAGAGCTCTCTAATTGTAATTCTTACTAGTAACAATTCAATTAAAGAGCTCTGTAATTAAAAATGAATGGAAGTCAATGGAGACATATGACTAGTAAGAATTCATTTGTAGAGCTCTCTAATTGGAATTGTTACTAGTAAGAATTGAATTAGAGAGCTCTGCAATTGAGTTGTTACTAGTAAGAATTGAATTAGAGAGCTCTCTAATTGTAATTCTTACTAGTAACAATTGCATTAGAGAGCTCTCTAATTGAATTGTTACTAGTAAGAATGCAATTAGAGAGCTCTATAATTAAATTACAGAGCTCTTTAATTGTAATTGTTACTAGTAACAATTCAATTAGAGAGCTCTACAATTAAATTGTTACTAGTAAGAATTGAATTAGAGAGCTCTCTAATTGTAATTGTTACTAGTAACAATTGAATTACAGAGCTCTCTAATGGTAATTCTTACTAGTAACAATTCAATTGTAGAGCTCTCTAATTGTAATTCTTACTAGTAACAATTCAATTAAAGAGCTCTGTAATTAAAAATGAATGGAAGTCAATGGAGACATATGACTAGTAAGAATTCATTTGTAGAGCTCTCTAATTGGAATTGTTACTAGTAAGAATTGAATTAGAGAGCTCTGCAATTGTAATTGTTACTAGTAATAACTGAATTAGAGAGCTCTCTAATTGTATTTTCACTAGTAAGAATTGAATTAGAGAGCTCTCTAATTGGAATTGTTACTAGTAAGAATTGAATTAGAGAGCTCTGCAATTGTAATTGTTACTAGTAATAACTGAATTAGAGAGCTCTCTAATTGTATTTTCACTAGTAAGAATTGAATTAGAGAGCTCTCTAATTGTATTTTCACTAGTAAGAATTGAATTAGAGAGCTCTCTAATTGTAATTGCTACTAGTAAGAATTGAATTGTAGAGCTCTCTAATTGAATTCCTACTAGTAAGAATTGCATTAAAGAGCTCTCTAATTGAATTAAAGAGCTCTGCAATTGCATTCTTACTAGTAAGAACTGAATTAGAGAGCTCTCTAAATCAGTTTTTACTAGTAATAATTGCATTAAAGAGCTCTCCTAATGTAATTCTTACTAGTAAAAACTGATTTAGAGAGCTCTCTAATTTAATTCTTACTAGTAAGAATGCAATTGCAGAGCTCTTTAATTCAATTAAAGAGCTCTGCAATTACATTCTTACTAGTAAGAATCGAATTAGAGAGCTCTCTAATCGCAATTGTTACTAGTAAGAATTGAATTAGAGAGCTCTCTAATTGTAATTGCTACTAGTACGAATTGAATTGTAAAGTTCTCTAATTAAATTTTTACTAGTAAAAATGAAATTACTACAAGTAAGGCTGGGTACAATTTAAGCTAAAACGGCTTGCCATACGTTTGTTAACATTGTAAGGGTCTGAATCGGCCTCGAAATGGTTTGAAATTGACGCCATCGTTAATATTTACATCTGAGTAGAGCTTGCGGTTATGAAGGGGCGGGACATTTCCCGAACACGAGCTAAGCGCTGTATTTTTGGAAGGAGGAGCTTCATCGAAAACAATGCATTCAAACAGACTGGGGAGAGAGGAGCTGTAATAATCTAAAATATGTGAAAATCATGATTTTTTTTAACAATCAAGCATGAAAACATTCTAGTACACCCCAAAAACAAAATCAAGACTTCGTACAAGCCCTTTAATCTTCGAAACACAAATTGAGATATTTTTAAAGATATTTTTCAGGTAACCAAAACACACATGCGTAGAGCGAATAGCATATGGTAAACACTGAAGCTTGTGGAATGTGCGTGCATCAAGTATATGTGAATAAAGGCCCAAATTAAATCTGTTCATCATATAAAGTGATTGTACATCTTCACAAGACTTGGAGTAAAACGCTTGGTTCTTGTGGATTAGTTTTATGACACCATTATGACCTTTATGGATCTTCTCAGTTTTGGTTACCTGGACTTTCAATGGAAACACAGAAACCTCTCAGGTCTGGTCTGAAAATCTGGGTGAACTAAGCCTTTAACAGTACAACTGCAGCATCCTGTAACAGTACCTCTGTGGCGTATATACGGCCGGATCTGTTTCCACAGTGGGCTCAGCAGGCCCGGTCTGAGCCGGTTATAGGGCACGTTGGACACCAGGTGTGCAAGGCACTGGAAGACAAAACACAAATCCTGTTCACAAACTCTTTGTGGGGGAAAAACTCATGCATGGCCTAGGAAAACAGCAAATGCTGACCAAACCACCTTATATTCCTCCAAAGGAACATTTTTGTAGGGATCATGCTCATAGTAAGGATATAGTTGTGATGTTTTAGCTGAGTAACCACAGGTGTAGTTGATCTGTGTCAAATGACTTGGTAGAAGTTGGTAATTGCAAAATGGTTGAAGTAAGTTTTCAGGTCAAGCATTATTCGGAGGCCACTGTATGTGAGTTAGTGTTATTTCAAAGTATTATTTATAGTATTTATTAACATTTAGAATAGTTTTTTTAGTTTTCATTTTAGTTTAATTTTTAGTAATTTTTTGATGTGCTTTTGTCATTTTTATTAGTTTTTTTTTTCATATTTCTATAGAGCTTTAGTTCATTTATTTCACTTAGTTGCCAAGGCAACATCTCATATTTTAAGTTTTTCATTTAATATTTTTATTTTATTTAGTTGAGCTTTTTTTCCAATTACTGAAAGTGAATTTAAACCCTATAAAGTCTACTGTATCATTTGATAAACAAATTTCTAAGGCCTCTAAATATTGAACATAATTAAACCTTTGCTGAAAATCCTGTTGTACATAATCGTCTGATTGATAGTTCATACATTTTTTAGCAAGTAAAAGACCTTTTAGTGTCATTTTAAAACGGTCCATCGTCAGGTCGTGGTACACGTGCCTTTTTGCTGTGAAATCTTTTCTGATTTTTATAAAGGAAATGTAAGAATCGCTTTTATATTGTTAGTTATATTTTTGAATATGAACATTTACAGGACTGAACCAACTGAGGTTTGCTTGATTATCAATACATCATATTTTAGAAAAAAACATGTTAAAATGTGAGTTTCATCTCTCAATCATTATTATTATTTTGCATTGCACTGCATTATATGTCTTGCCCCTGACAATAAAAACTACAGAGCTAAAAACTAAACATTTAAATATCATCTTATTAAACATAATATTGGGAAGATATAGAGTGACAACTGATATTTATATGCATTTTATGCAAGTAATCTGCTATACTGTTATAAAGATCTTACTTTTTGGCTGAATAAATATCAACAAGCATATTTTTGCTCAGTTTGAGCCTCTGAAAAATACTGAGATATTTCTTTCCTCCTCGAGTGTGAGATCCATATTTTCCTATCTCATACTAAAAGAGCCTTACAAAACCTTTCAGTAAACTTCAAGTTTCAGTAAACTGTTAAATTTTCAAACTGTTATTTCTGATGTCAGGCCGTACATGGTTAATCATTTTATTTGTAGTAAACAACACCGGGATGAGTGTGTGTTCTGTTACCTTTAAGACCTGTGTGAGGGTCTGACAGGAGGACTCCGCTACGAGCGCTAGCAGCAAGCCGCGGTTCAGCTCTCTGACACTGGCAGCTAATGTGGCCGAGAAAGGAGTGAAGGCCTGGCGCGGCGCACTGGTGTCTTCAGCGGTGGAGAGGAACTGTCGAGAACCTTCCAGAAGAGCAGACAGAACCTGCAGAGAGCCTGCTCGCACCTAGGAGCAAATGGAGGACGTCAAAAGCCAAATATGCTACATTTAGCTGATGTCAGAAACTAAATGGGCAACAGTGGACTTGCGTTTTACCTTTGGGGAGGGGTCCTTTAGGGCTATGGTCAGGAGGGTAAGAGGAGGAGGGCCTCCAATCCCAGGAGCATCTGGAACAAAGGAAGACCAGTAGCCATAGAGGATTCGTTTCTCAACACACTTGACCACAGCCAGGAAGCACTGAAGCGCACTCTGCCGCACACGTGCTTGATACAACCTAGACGAGAGAGAGACCAACATAAACACGTACGCATTTACATCCATGTCAAAAAAGTGTTGTGTCAGAGAAGAAACACAGTATCAGACACTTAAGACATGCAAAAAAGTGATTATTTATAATAACAACAATAATAAACAATAATATTGATTACAATTACTGTGGATGATTAAATTGGTATTTATTGTTATTAAATGGCCTATTTAATTAATAATAATAAAATGGTAATAATTTATTGTACAATATACAATTGCATGATCATAAAAAATATTCATAATGCATAGGTTTTTATTAGGGATGCACGATATATCGACCACATATCGATATCGGCCGATAAATGATCTTTTTTGATGTTATCGTTATCGGTCTGATAAGAAAATTGGGCCGATATATCAAAGCCGATAGATAGATTATTTACTTCAGTTGAGAGATGCGCGCTGTTCGCCATGATGGTTCTGAATGATTGGATTAACTTCAAAAAGGAAGATACAGTTCAGTGCAACATGTGCAGCACAAATCTGTCACATAACATTATAATAAAAACATGCAAAAGAATGTTGTGAATTGTTGTTCGCCAGTGTTTCAGCGCGACGAGCGCGTTGTGGCAGAAAGAGCGCGTCTATGGAGTTTAGCCTTCATGACAAGCACAGTCAAGTTCTCTTGAGCATTCGCAGCATTCTGCGCCATTGTAAGTTGTAATATGTTTATTTTGTGTATATATATCTGATTAATCTAATATAGGATGCGTTTGGTTGAGTTAATGAACGATGCAGTAGCGCTTCATTGTACCAGTGATCATCTTTGGTGTGATCATCTTTGATCATTTTAGCGTTGCGCAGCTCAAACAGCAATGCACATTTATAACTATAATTGGGACTGTCATATACATGCCATTATAATGAGAACACTATTGTAATAAAACGTTGTGAATTCTCTGTTTAGTTGCCATTTCAGCGCGTTGTTGTGAGAATAGCGCGTCCAGAACAGGGATTAGCCTACACATTATGACCAGCACAAGTTCGATTATGCATTCACGTCATTTTGCGCAGATAAGTCGTAATATAAAGTTGATGTAATATAAATATCTGATTAATCTCACATATGATGCGTTTCGTTCGTGGATTTAAACAACCTTCTAGAAAAGTTCTTCAGTTTATGCCGGTGCTCGTTCTCTTCAGCGCGCGCAGATTAAACAACAATGCAAAACATTAAAAGCTATGATTGGGACTGCCATACAATTCTAATTGTATTCACTATTGTAATACATTTGTAAATTCTTTGGGTTTGCATTCTTCAACAACCGTTGAGTTGATTAACCTTCTAGCAATCAACCTTCTCTTCAGCTTCAGCGCGCGCAGCTCACACAGCAATGTCATTTGAAACAGTAACTACAAGCTATTGAAGATGTTTACTATCAATGTAATATTAAAAATGTTAATTTTTTTTCAAAAACATTGCGTTATAATTAATAACTAACATTATTTTGTTCTCGTATTATTTTCATCAACGATATGGTTTGATTAAAATATTTTTTTTCTTATTGTGCGTGCGGAGGCGATTCCATTTTATTGATCCATGGGACATGCATTTTGTTTCTTTATATGCAGCCCAATGTTATCCAATGACTTGTTTGCATTATTTATGTATTTTATTTTTTGTTAGGCAATAGATTTTTTGATAACACTTTACAATAAGGTCTCATTTGTTAATGCATTAACTAACAGAGAGCAATAGCCTTTGTTATTGTTAGTTAATAAAATATGTGGGTTCATGTTAGTTCACAGTGCATTGACTAATGTTAACAGATACAACTTTCTTAAAAATGTTTTATAAAATTGTTGGGTCATGCTAACTAATGCTAACAAAATTAAACCTTATTATGAAGTACCATTTTTTAATAAAGAAAGTTGTCCATATGAGTGTAAAATTAATTTTAAAAGTTAAGGAATCTTACACTGGTTCAAACTAGGCTATACTGTATTGTGATTTGATTTATGTTAAACGTGTTTGAGACCAGGCTTTTAATGGTGAGCCTTTTGTTATACAGGCTATCAAAGTATATAAAATTTTTAATTTAGATTCATCGGCCAATATATCGGTTATCGGCTTTCAAATGTAAAGAATTATCGGTTATCGGTATCGGCCAAAATGTTCATATCGGTGCATCCCTAGTTTTTATTGTAATTACCATTTAGTTTTTCAAATACTATTACAGTTGTGTCGGAGCAGAAATACAGTATCAGTTAATGGACAATTAATGAACGCAAAAAAAAGTGAATATAATAACAACCATAATTAATAGTAATAATAATGTAATATGATAACTAATGTGAATTATAAATTATTAAACATTAATTAAAAGCTTATGCATTGTTATTTAATTAAATTGTCTATTTTAAATTAATAATTATAAATACATACATGCATACAAAATTAAACAAGAAAAATCAGCATATCTGTTACTGGACACTAAATCACATACACAGTATTAGTCTTAAAAAAACCCCGCGCGGGCCAGTGAATGGCCATCAGCAAAACAAACAGCAAACATCATATACAGTGGCGCGAAGAGTGTCAATGTTACTTCAGGTTATAACGTGTTAAAATGTCAAAGAACTACGAGGCTGATACGAGAAAGAGGACATTCCTATAGGGCTGGGAGGTAAATCGAGTTTGTACAATATATCGATTTTTTTTAAACGATAAGGCAATACTGTTTATATCGATACAGTAGTTTGATACGAGCACATCTGAAAAATAGCGGAGTACGCAGTGTGAGCTCCTGCAGTGAAACAACATAGTACAATTTGTCCTAAACATGACAAGCTTATATTAAGCACTTCAAAATAACTGGTAAGATATAGTTAACAAGTTTAAAGCAGCTTGCCCTGTCAGATGCTCTGACAAATACTGTTGCTGACTGACAGATAAATAACGTTACTTCCGCTGTTTAATGCGTTTGAGACGTGGTGCTTTCCTCAGTGCTTAACTTACATTTCACAGGTATATTCTCCATCTGTAAATGTTAGAAAGTCAAACAAATATGTCCATTTCATTGTGAGGAGAGGACGAGCTTCTGCAAGTGAATCTCCGCTAATATTCAAGCTTCCGTGAATAAGCGCCGCCGCCAGCACGCGCGCCTAACAGACGAGCACAATAGAAGAGTAGCGCAATAATTCTGACTAAAAGATACATAGTGCTAAAATATTTGTTGTTGGAGACAATAAATGTGCCATATGTGGAATTTTAAACCTACAAGTAGGCCTCTGTTTTTATGAAAGTAAGCATTATAACGGGGTAATCAAAGTGCTTTTGTTTTTATTTTCATTTTTAGTTTAGCCTTAGTCATTTTAAAAACAAAAGCATTATTTTTGTTTTTAGATTGTAATGTTAGAATGTAATGTGATTTTAACCACCTTTTTGCACGTAATATATTGCATAGCCTACATTACATTCACTATATTTGTTTCCATATCCTTCAATATCAACATTGTTTGGATATCATTAAGCAGGATGTGAAATATTTTTTTTATAAATAAATACAGATTTTCTTTATCCAAATAGAAAAACATAGAAAGTACCGAGATATATATCGTATATCGGCATTTAACCAAAAAATACCGAGATATGATTTTTTGGCCATATCGCCCAGTCCTAATTCCTAGTGTCATGGAAAACGCAGTACACCTGGGTGGAGAAAGGCGATGAGGGCATGTACTGTTTCGTTTGCCGGAAATTTACAACAAAAGCCGACCAAAATGCAAAATGCATAACCGGCCTGCCGAGTGCCAACGAGCTATCTAAAAATAGTGTAATCAAATTCCCCCCTAAACTTCTGCCTAGCCCCCCTAAAAATGTGTGATTAAGTGTAAGCTACACAAATTTGTGTTCGCTTCAGTCTTGTTATAATCAGATTCAGCGCGTTCTTCATTTTTTCTTCATTGACAGTTTTTTAGGTCATAAATGTTAAACGTATGACAAAAATAATCAGGCAAACTAATATACTTTAGTCTAATTTCGCCATTTTGAAGTGAAAATATAGCCTATGTAACTCATCACTCATGTAATGTAATAATTAGTTTACTGTCATTGTGAGGGGGCAAGAAAAATTAATCCTAATGTATACAATAAATTAGGGGTGACCCCGAATAGTCGAAGATTCGATGCTTCGATAGGAGGAGCCTGATTCGACTACCAATCTCACGGTCGAATCTTCGCAGATGTGTTATTAAACGAGGATTATGTCATTTTGGCTATATGAGTGTGCTCAATGTCTGATTTCACATAGAACTACTGGTTTTCTGTCAATATGTTAATATACAGCCTATTATGATAATGCTGTCGATAAAAATGTGCAAAGAAAGAAGCTTTTAATAAATATTTTAACGTGCGCGCAGGGTGAATAAATCCAAACACCCCGTGACAGATTTAAGTTTCACTTTCGATCCGTGACCGACAGAGGAGCGTCTTGTCGGCAGGGATTTAAATCTTTAAAAATGTCTGGGATAAGACAATCTAAAGATGCACACCATCAGAAAGGATATTCTCCAAGGCTGGATTCAGCATCAGGAAAGCACTTCTGCCGGCCAACGTTAACAGGCTGGTTTTCCTCGGGACGTTCTAAAACGCTTAACGTGAAAAAAGCTTTTAAAACGCTTAAATGGCACTTTTACGTGCTTAATGTATGTACACAGTAGGCTACACACCTTAAGAAACCATTCTATGTGCAGATAAGCAGATGAACCCAGAATATGAACGCAACGCGTTTCTCCTATTGAAAGTCACGTAAAGCTTTTTCTTTAACGGTTTTCTATGGGAGGAAAATGCTTAACGTAGCCTAAGTTATAATAAAACGCGTTGCGTTCATATTCTGGGCTCATCTGCTTTTCTGTAGGCTATATAGTATGCTTTATTAATATAAGGTGTGTACAGAATTTGATCTTTTAATATAACAGTTTTAGGACAAAGCCGTTAAGCGTTTTTCACGTTAAGCGTTTTAGAATATATTTTATCCGCGCACACAATTTGAAAAGACTCAAACGGACACAGGCCGAGTGAAAGACTGGATTTAGTTTTTTCGATCAGGTATGAATAAGTGATTTCAAAACATTTCAGCCGGTTCTAATTAGATTTTTGGATACTGTGAACACGTTTAGCTAAAAAGACTGCCGCTCCAGTTTAGCGTTTATTGTTGTTTCTGCAGTTAAAAAGACAAAGTTGACCATCCTGGCCATACTTTCGTTATTTTAATAATTTCTTTATTTTTATTTTATTAATTGATCACTCAGGGTGATCTAATTTAACTATTTGTGACTTGTGTTTTGAATTTTGTTCCCCTGCACTTTAGGCATTTTGCACACATTTGTTCTGCTTCTTGTGATTTGATTCTGACTTATTTCGTTTTGTATTTTTATTTATTATAAAAGTATATTATGTTCTTAATTGTTGATTATTTTTCAGTGCATCGATGTTGCGCTGTAGGCCTACATAGAGCATGCTCGTACAGGCAATTCAGCCGATTTAATTTGATTTGCATGTGAAATGCAAATCCTATCTGCAGTGTGGCCTTTCTGCAGTTATTTATGTTATTTCTTAGTTTTATTGATCCAAAATGTTTTTATACATTTTCTTCTTTATCTTTGTGTGATGTTCTGTACATCGCGGCTTTAAAATGTTAAAGCCCCGCCCCCTCCCACACATGATTCGACTATTAGTCGACTATAGGCAGGACCTGACGAATCTGATTCGACTATGAAAATCCTTAGTCGGGGACACCCCTACAATAAATACAGTTTAATGGAAAAGTGCTTTTCATTCTATTTCTTTCAGGGCCAGTAAAAATATAGAAGGGGCCAGTAAAACTCTGATCTACTGGCCCTGGGGGCCAGTGGGGATTTTTTTTTATGTTGAGCCCTGATTAGTGGTCCGAGAGTCATACCTGAGTTTGGATTGCATTCCTCCCTCAGGGTCGGAGAATTCAGAGTCGGAGCTCCCCTTCTTCCAGGAAGGGTAGAGCTGCGGAGTCACTCCTGACGCTGAAGTAACACTCGAGGACTGAGAGCCGAGAGACCAACCACTCTGATCTCCAGATTTAACCTCATCACCCTCTCCTTCCTCAGCATCTCTCTTTCCCTCGGCTCCAGCTTTCTTCCCTTTCCCACGAGACTTACGCTTCTTGTTCTGTTGGGACTAAAGTAGAATTATAGTGTTTCCTCCTCTGGTAGATCATACAGTTACAGTCTTGATTTTACAATAACCTTTACACTAGTCGTGATATATCGGCATAGCATATCAGTATCGGCCAAATGTATGTTCAATTTAATTGTTATGGTTACTGGCCCGATAAGAAGATTAAGCTGAATAATGGATTATTTCCTCCAGCTGAGACACTTCAGTTGCGCACTGTTCGCCATGATGGTTTTAAATTGCTTGAAATATGATTGGATCAAATTGCAATGCTGCAACGTTTTCCTTATTTTCCATGCAGAGGTTATTCCAGTTTATTTATCCATGGCACATGCATTTTTATTTCTTTATACGTGTAGTCTAATGACTTGTTTGCATTATTTAGGCATTGTTTTATTTCTTTGCAAGGAAAAGCAAAAACACTTTTTGATAAAGAAAGTTTGCAATAGGAGTGTCAAATGAATTTGAAAAGTTCCTACACGGATTCACTATAGGTGCATATACTACTGTACTGTATATGTTTGATTTATGCTGAAGTGCTTAGGAAATGGCTTTTAATGGTGAGCCTTTTGTTTTTGTAATCAGGCTCTTCAAAATGCTATCAACATTTGGATTTAGATTTATCGGCGCATCCCTTGTAACGCGGATGGCTGGTATAAAGCGCACGATGACCGAAAGTATCAGAGCAAACAGTCCTTTAATAGATAATAATATCCAAATGGCACAGGAAAGCTCAGGGAATAGGTATCACAACAAGCAAAGGGAATACAGACAAAACAGGGACAGAACACTGAAAACGAAACCAAAACAGAACTACATACAGAACCCGAATGTTCTTGCCACTTACCCCTGCAGTTTTTTTCTGCACAGTTGAGTCTTGTGAGGGTTCAGGTTTTGCAGCGGAAACAGTCTCGTACTGAGGGAGAGGAGCGGGGTACAACACCTGTGGCATCTCCACACTCATTCCTGGCAGCCCGTAGAACATGAATCTCTGCCAAGGACACAATGAGACAATTATCAGCGATGATACAATTAGCTTCCCTGCACTTATCAATTCAGCTCCCTTTTGAACTGTACTACCAATCTGTAAATCTACATCTTTAAAACATGAACAGAATACAATGCATACTTTGAGCACAGCCAATAAGGTGCCCAGATCCTGGTTTGGAATGGCTTTCCATTTTCCACCATTGAGAAAATACTGCATTCCCTTCAGAGCACTCTGCAATAACTGAAACAGAAGCAATGGGAAACTTTTTATAGTACACAAATAAGACAAACCAGTGGTTATTCTTACCAAGTGGTTTGAGTGAAGGTGTGGTCACATTTACCATTGCTTTTTGTCAAATTTTGCAGACAAAATCCATTCATTTCAATCCACCTTATTCCTACGGCCCATGATGCTTTGCGCGAATTATGGGTGTAACTTCCGTTAAGCTGTAAACAATCAGTGAAAGTCTCGCTCTATGAACGCAATACATTCAAAAAAGTGTCACAATGAGATGACATTAATCGACTCACCCTTCAACCATGGAACATTAAAATGAAATTTAAAAGTTTAAAAGAATCAACAAGGTCAACAGACCAAAAATAGCCCCAAACGCGCGAGTCTTTGGTTAAATATCACTGTAGTAGGCAAATATATTGTATAACAAGCCTTAATCAAAAATATTCATTAACTTCAGAATTACATGACACTATATCAAAGTGATTTCCGTCATTTTGACAGATTATAAATTGCATTTACCTGTGAAAACAAACCTGGAAAGAGACGTGAGGATTTGAGGAGAATAACGAGAGATTCTTCGTGCATTCCAGTGAATTATTATCGTAAATTAAATTCGGGAGAACAGACCACAAATGTGCCGTATATGTTGTACTTTTTTCATACTTTTACAGCGGATTGCAAAGGAAAAAATAAAAATCATCATGAGGAAAAGAAAGCAGCGACTGAAAAGAGCTCTTGCCATAGATATTCTTGTTATAACATGTCATGTTAAAATACCAAGTATAACGTTATTCTCATGATGTCTGAAAATAAATCATGAAGGAAAATTGACAGCTCATCCAGTCAAACTGACGGATCAGCTTTATTTGTAGGGCAACCTTATGATTTGAAATTATTCGTTTCAGCCTTTTTGAATGGAAGTTCCCCAAACCGGAAGTGCCACCCTTAATTCAAAACGCAGTAAGGTCGTCAGGAATAAGGTGGATAGGAATCCATGCGGGAAAAAATTCTGCATGCAGATTTTACACACATTCAGGTTGCCATGAATTTTCCATATTGACCAGCAGAAAGTTACTTGGTTTGAAAGTGACAGTGAGAGTTTTGCTTCACACATTGTTACACTATTGACAATAGATATTGGACTTTGTCTACTTTGGCTAATGTGACCGCACCTTGAGTTCTAGCAGCATCAGAAAACATGCAGTACTGACTGAACAGAAGACAATGTCCTCCACATCAGCTGGTTTGGGAGACTGCAGTGTCCGCAGGAGGATTCCATAGCATACACCTTTATATGGCTCCTCTAAAAACGGCTGACCGGGAACACTAGCACACAACCAAATCGACATTTCACTGTAAAGGCCTGTTCACACAAAGGACGATGATGACTTTAATAACGATTATAACTCCACAGTTGACGGTAGCCATTGACTTCCATAGTATGAAAAAAATATATGGTAACACTTTACAATAAAGTTCATTAGTTAACATTAGTTAATGTATTAAATAACATGAACCAACAATAAGCAATACATTTGATACATTATTTATTAATGTTAGTTAATACAAATACAGATGTTCATTGTTCGTTCATGGTGCATTAACTAATGTTACCAAATAAAACCTTTGATTTAAAAAATTTATTTTATGTTGAAATTAATATTAACTAAGATTAAAACATGCTGTAGAAGTATTGGTCATTTTTAGTTCATGTTCATGTTATTGTAAAGTGTTACCAAAATACTATGGAAGTCAATGGCTACCGTCAGCAGTTTGGTTACAGACATTCTTCAAAATATCTTCTTTTCTGCTCAGCAAAAGAAAGAAAAACATACAAGTTTGGGACAACTTGAGTGAGTGCGAGTAAATGATGATAGAATTCTCATTTTTGGGAGAACTATCCCTTTAGCTCTGCAGTCTCTCTACTTTTTAAAATTGTATTAATAGTCAATAATAACAGTTTGTTGAAAAAACTGAAATGAACGGATGCATGATATATTGGTTCCATATCAGTAATCAGCTGATATTTGAGCTGATTTTTATTTATTTTGATTGATATCAGCTGATATTTAATATTTAATTGTGTATGCTCATTTGATCTATTTTTACATTGAGACTGCCATCATCTAACACTCAAAGTTAATATTTAAAAACAGTATAACGCATAATAAATATAATACATATCAAATACAGTATTAAAAACTGTTAAATGTAACATTATGAAAAGCAAAAAAACAAAACAAAACGAATATACATTTATCATCATTTTGAAATTTTAAAAAATATTTGTATTTATTTAAATAAAATAGTGTCACTTGTCCCAAATGTATTAACATTTAAATTAAAGGAGAACTCCGGCGCAAAATGAACCTTTGGTCTAATTACACATCGTTACCTAGTCAACCGTTATCTGAGATTTGTTTTCATGATTATCGAATGTAAATAGTTTTATCTCTACAAACAGTTTAGCCTATAAAGCTAGTATAACGGTAGTATATTGGGCATAGTGTAATGACAAATAAAAATCGCTTGTTAATACCACTAACAAGGCTCAAAATAGACCCACACTAACACGGTAGCATAATGAGGGTCCCTACCTTCAAACCGAAGCATTGAGAACTTAGTAAGTGTACAGATAGTTTAATAAGAAGGTATTTTAAACATACAGTCAACTTCGTGTATACAGGCAGAAGCCATCTTTGAAATACAGCCTTTACCAGTCGATCTACGAACGCCGATCCAAGTGCGCTGGTGAGAATGTGAACGAGCTATAAGTTGTGATAAGGTGAGCGCGAACAGCAGGCTTGGATCGGCGTTCGTAGATCGACTTATAAAGGCTGTATTTCAAAGATGGCTTCTGCCTGTATACACGAAGTTGACTGTATGTTTAAAATATCTTCTTATTAAACTGTCTGGACACTGACAAAGTTCTCAATGCTTCGGTTTGAAGGTAGGGAGCCTCATTATGCTACCGTGCTAGTGTGGGGCTATTTTGAGCCTTGTTAGTGGTATTAACAAGCGATTTTTATTTGTCATTGATCTATGCCCAATATACTAGCGTTATACTAGTTTTATAGGCTAAACTGTTTTTAGAGATAAAACTATTTACATTCGATAATCATGAAAACAAATCTCAGATAACGGTTGACTAGGTAACAATGTGTAATTAGACCAAAGGTTCATTTTGCGCCGGAGTTCTCCTTTAATAATTTGATACAATGTACTACTTATTAGGGGTGTGACGAGACGCTTATCTCACGAGACGAGACTAGACACGAGATTGGGTTCACGAGAACGAGACGAGACGAGATTTTTGCACAATTTTTCAGAAATCCTCAATGACAAAATTCATGGCTGGAAAAATAGTATGCAGGTGCATTTTTCAATGTTTTAACTAATAATCTTCTAATGCATGTCATTTCAGGTCTACTTTATGAGTATGAATTATCAAATGCATTGAAAGAAAACAATATTCAAGCACTGTAAAAGGTTTTTATTGACTGGCTTTTCTCCTGTATAATTTCACATTAGTCTCTTCAGACCTTACTGTACATTTAAGAGCTTTCAGAACTTCTGATTGAGGCTGTGTGTGACCTCCTAACTGAACTCCTTTTAACACACATTTAACAGAGAAATAAAAACCGTATAAATAACAAAAATAAATAACTGTTTTCTCTTAGTCTTATTAAGTGCAAACAATAAGTGCGAGTGCAACCATAATCAAAGTTAGCACACAGACTCTTTATAATTGTTGTGAAATTGCGGTTTTATTTTGCACCGGCAGTTATAGGGTTAATGCGGTGAGTTCGGAAAAGGCCGAGAGAAACGAGGCTGGTGTGTTTGTCTCTACAGTTGTTCTTGCGTTCCGATTATAAGTTCAGAAACGGAGCCTCCCTTGTCTGTTGTCCTTTGTACGTTACAGTGCTCTCTCAATATTCGCAGTGCCAACAGAGACCATAGCCGCAAATAAACAGTCCAGAGATGGGTATTGGGAGACGGATTATTTTATGTATGCAGCCTAATTTGTGCGCAATGCACATCAGGGAGCTTGTGTTTTACTTTCACTTACAAATTCGTGACCGCGCGTATAGGGAGCAGCGGTGCTGAGCGCGCATTCTACAAGATAAGACATTTACCAGACGTTTAGTCTGTTGCGCAACGAATCCTCCGCCATCGTCATGCGATCAGTGAACTGTGATTCGTGCTGCACTGATTGCAACGGCAACTCGTGCTGGATGAGCAGAGCAGACTTTTGCATTAGTTTATAATGGTTTTTATTTTTTTATAAAAACAACAAAACGATAGTTTAGGCGAATGTGAGTGTAGCGGTGGAATATTAATGGGGATATCGCGAGACAGCTTTTTCACTCGACGAGAAATCTCGTCATATTTAGTCTCGCGAGATCTCGTGGCACGAGATCTCGTCACACCCCTACTACTTATATTTGAAAAATAACTGCAAGTAATTAATTGCAGCTATAATTAATTTCTGTAATTACATCTATAATTACACTGTTGACTCTTCCAACACACCTTAACCCAAATAGTGTACTGTAATTCATTAGTAATCATTTACATTTTTTTTTACCAATGTAAGGTTAAAGTGCATATGTTGTGCTTGTTAGGGTGTATTTAGGAACACAAGCCAAATACTAATATGAAACAAAAAATGCCAATAGGAACACAATACTTTCGTAACTTAAAGCTGGAATAAACAGCACAACTAAAATTTGAACAGATTTTAAAACACTAGACATCATACATCATACACTTTAGTTTAACTTTTACATTTTAAATAGATATTAAATAGCAGGCAGTTATAAAGCTTGACTCATGACATGATTTCATTCCCGAAACTCGGGACACGCCTCACCTGAGACACAGATTAGCTATGCAATGCACAGCAGAACGGCGCAGCTCTATGTCGGGCTGAACGGGGTCACCGTAGCTCACCAGAATACCACTCAATCCAAGGAGTTCTGGAAGATGCTGGAGAGGATTACAAAATGAAGATGAATAGATTATAAATATCATAAACAAAAAATAAGTGCGAGTTTGTCGCTCCTACCCGTTGACATTTGGATCCATTGCCATAGACCAGTGACGAGAGGGCAAGCAACACATCCGGGTGAGTCCATGAGCTGCACGTGCGCAGAGCACGTGAGCAGTACGACACCAAAACATCAAGTGTGTGCTCATCCACTATTACCTGGAAGTACAAAAGCAGGATATTTTTCAGAAGATTGTGCCTCTTGATAAGAAACCATATATGGCCATAGTGTAAGTACCTGGAGCTGGTTTAGAAGTTGATGAATCAATTGGCACAATTTGATGAAGAGATGCTCTTGGCTGAGAGGAACCAGACGGCTTGCTTGCATAAGCATCTCACAAACAACCTGTGAAAGATGACAGGTGGTCATTTAAAAAGACATAATGGACAAACACTACCAATGATTTATGCCCTCTCACAGACTCATTGAGATTTTTGGAAATTGTAAAAATTAGCTCATTTTTTTGTACATGTTTATTTATTTATTATTTTTTATATGTATTATTATATTAAATGTTCAATTATTTGATGGATGGAAATATGCATATGTACATGTTCCAATATACATGTACCGGTCAAAAGTCTGAAATAGTTTTTAATAGTTTGGAAAGAAGTCTCTTATGCTCACCAAGACTGCATTTACTTTTGTTTAAAAAATACAGTAAAAACAGTAATGTTGTAAAGTATTATTACAATTTAAAAAAATATACTAAAGTGTAATTTATCCCTGTGATTGCAAAGCTGCATTTTCAGCATCATTACTCCAGTCTTCAGTGTCACATAACCCTTCATTCTGATATGATTTGCTGCTCAAGAAACATTTATTATTATCAATGTTGAAAACAGTTGTGCTGCTTAATATTTTTATGGAAACAGTGATACCCCAAACCTTTGAACAGTAGTGTGTATATATATATATATATATATATATATATATATATATATATATATATATACATACATACATACTTTTATTCAGCAAGGATGCATTAAGTTGATCTAAAGTGGAAGTAAATACATTTATAATGTTACAAAAGTGTTCTAGATCAAATAAATGCTGTTAAATGAACTTTCTATTCATCAAAGAATCCTGAAAAAAAAAAACGTTATCTTGGAAAACATTTAGCAGCCAAAAAATGTTTTGTGCACTGATAATAATAACCATTATTATTATTATTAAATCCTATTAGAAGGATCGTGTGACACTGAAGACTGGAGGATGCTGAAAATTCAGCTTTGCATCACAGGAATAAATTACATTTTAAACGGTAGTGTAGTATATATGTATGAATTTTGTATCGATTTATTTATGTTGATATAATACAAGTTCAGCTCATTTCTTCGAACGTGCAAGTTTATATCTTGTTTTGCGTCGTTTGTTGTATAATGATACATTTTGGTACAATCATTTGCAAAGGTTGTGGCTCAAAACCTGTCTACCTAGGCAGCATCTCTGAGCATCCTAGGCCATTAGATTCAGGCAGACATCCAAGCGATGCCCAGACATGTAGCAGCTAACGTTTGTCTATGTAGGGGACTTACAATGTTCTGGGAGCTTGACAGCATTAAGAAAAGCAGCATAAGTCTGATCCTACCTCTGGGTGAATGTTGTCATGGTTGCTGCTGCTGTAGTTTTCTGAGATGAGCTGGTCGAACAGTAAATTGAGCTCGGTTTTCAGAGTCGCACTATCAGACGGTCTCAGAGATCGGAGTTTCTCATAGCAGCGACTGATCTGATCCTGCGCCTGCGCGGAACCGTCCAGCTCATGCTGTGACTTTGACTGAGGGACTAACCTTGATGTATCGGGCGAGGCGGACTGAAATCCCTGTGTGTTGCGATTAGAAGGAAAACTTAAGTTCGTATCAAAAAACGTTACCTTACCGGCCATCTTTACGGGGTCAAAATAGCGGCTTTACTATGGTAACCATTAACCACTTCCGCGGTCAATCGGAAATCATCGTTTTTAAATTAAAAGTCTTTTCATTTTTCCCCCAAACGTTTCCTATACACTTTCCATACCATCTATGCTGGTTAGCTAGCTACCTAATATTATCTCTAGGTAATTTACCAGTCACCCAGTGGGCATTTGATGTCAATTTAACATCAAAATGACATCAAACACTGATGTCAAAATTACGTCACGAAATAGGTCAAAAATGAAAGTCAAATTGACAACGTCATGTTATTTTGATGTCATGCTTTGTTTGCATTTGATGCCAATTCAACAATTCTTTGACGTCAAGATGTAATTTTAATGCTATTTTGATATCATTCAATATCAAGCTTCGATATCAATTCAACATAAATGTGACATCAAACATTGATGTCAAAATTACATAAATTTATTGACATATTTTGATATCATTTCAATGCCAAGTAGGGATGTCAACGATTAATCGATGATCGATTAATTGTCGATAACACGTTTAATCGATAAACCTTATCGATCATCGATTAAGCAGGTTCATGCGCGTGCGTGCTGCTCAACCGCGAAACATGTAAGCGAGCGCGCCGGAGTTATGTTTGGGACTATTTTACACCTTCATCATGACTATAAGTTTGCGTGTGCATTCGCTGCCTTTTGTTTTGTGCAAATGTAAGTTGTAATAGTTTATTTTGTGTGTGCCTATCTATATCTGATTTATCTCATATTGGATGCATTTGGTTAAGAATTGACGCAGCGTGATCTTTAGCGCGCGCAGCTCAAATGGCAATGCACGACTAATAACGACTATTGGGACTGTCATATTATATAACATTATAAAGAGAACAATATTGTAATAAAACATTGTGAATTATTTGGGTTTAGTTGCCGTGTCGCGTTGTTCCAGGAAGAGCGCGTCCACAACATGAGTCATTCTGAATGGCACGTAACTTAGTTCAAGTTCACTTGTGCATTCACGTCATTTTGTGCAGATATTATTTGTAATATTATGTTTATTTTGTATATATCTAATTAATCTCATAGGATGCGTTTCTTTGAGTTAAATAACGTGCTAGCAAAGTGCTCAACGGTTAAGTTATTCATTCAGCGCGCGCCGCTCAAGCAGAATGCACGACTAACGAGGATTAATTTGGGACTGTCATATTACATAACATGAGAACACTATTTTATTAAATCGGTGTGAATTCATTGGGTTTAGTTGCCGTTTTAAGTGCGTTGTTCCAGGAAGAGCACGCGTCCACAAGTCACACATTCTGACAAGCGCATCTGAGGCACTTAGGTAAAGTTGGTTTTATATTCGCATATTCGCACATTCGCGGACTTCCGCGTTCAATAACTCGTGAACTAAACGTTGTTGCTACACACAACACATATCACAGATAACTACAGATAAAACACCAGAAGCTACAACATAAATTTCCTCAAAACGATCTTTCCTTCGCACTGGACAAAATACATTGATCTCTATGCGCAGGCTGCTAAGAAGGGACCATCTGCAAAGTGCAAACCCGAAGGAAAACTCGTTTTGAGGAGATTAAAATATTAAAACAATGTTATTTGTGTAGTAATAATATTCAGCTCACGAGATATTGAACGCGGAACTCCGCAAATATGCAAAGCGAATATAAAAAGCAACTGTACCCAAGTTGCAGACTTGATCATGTAGGACCTTCAGGACCACATAGTACGTGGACAGCACCATGAACATAGTCAAGTTTAAAAAAAAAAATCAACCAGGGGTGAAATTAGTTTCAGGTTTGATATTTGCTGAGTATTCTCCTAGATCACGACTGCATTAGTGTACTTTTGTGTAGGCTATTGTACAGTACAGTACGCAAAAATGTTTTAAAACTTACAGTAATTCACCAAAGAGATTTTTTCATGTTCCAAAGGTTGTGGTATGTTCCTACTGACCAGACTGACTTACTGCTACAGGTGGAATTTTGACAGTACCTCCCTTACTGTATGTACTGAAGGGTTGGGGTCAGAATCCCCTGTCTCTTCAATTTAATTATATATATATATATATATATATATATATATATATATATATATATATATATATATATATATACTTTTGAATGATTACTTTATTCTTATTAAAAAATCAACAATCAAGTATGTATCCTCATCATTTCTGTATTCATTTTTTTTAGGTGCATTCCAGTGTGTGCCCTTGGGTTGTGTTCACATGCAATGGGCCTTTTGATGATAGTTGTCTTGGGATTCAGAGAGCGGCGGGAGAGAGAGACATACATACATTCAGTCTTTTACAGCCAATTAGTCAAACACAAAATCTTGAACTGTCATTATTTCTAGAAGAGCCCTTAGGACTTTTGCATATAAAAGTATTTGTCCTCTTTTTCTGGACCTTTCCATCATCGCTGTATCTTCTGTATCTCGTCCGCAACATATAGACGGTAATGATGGCATTTTTCTCCTTTCTTTTGCAAAGCTCTTTCTAATAAATTTTCAATTCCTCTCTACTCTGCCACCATCATCTGCTTAATAAATGCTTACAACATTCAGTGTGGTATGTTTTTCTTTATAAACCATTTTCATAATAAAAATATTTATAAAACAAGTTACAGTGTTTTCATTAATAAACCAGCTTCATAATAAAAATCAAAAAAGAAATTTGTTTTCTGGTTACAATGATTATTAATACAAGTGTTTTACAGTAAACACTTTCTTAATAAATTGTTTAACAACTACTTATGATACCTTTCATTATAAAAGCACTTTTTATTGGTTACAATTGTGGCTTACTATAACCCATAAATACTTCATATACCAAAAGCCATGATTAGAATAGAATAATTGCATATTTCATAACAATATCCACATATCTTGTCTTAGTTGACTTGTATAAGTTTGAAGGTCAATTTATACATAATTTCACCTTATTTTCATTAAGTGAACATCTCATGTGTATTTCTTTAGGGAGTGGAGTAAAGGGGCATAATATTATCGTTCCTGCTTTCCTGGAGGGAAATGTTTTATCAGCCTGTTAAGGTGGACTGCTATTCTGATAATGAGCTCAGGCCTTCTTCAGCCTCGAAGAGAACTGTTGTTTGTCAGTGTTCTGTGTGTGTGTGCGTTTGATATTCTTTGGAGGTTCTGAACTTTGTGATATACAACATTCTCGTACCCTGGAAGAAGGTTCAAAATGTCAAAAATGTATTATTGTTTAGACTTTATGTTGTCTTAGCCAACCAGAAGTAAATGATTATGTAATGCATGTCCTTGGAAAAGGTATAATTGTGAGATTTTTGTGTAAGGTGGCTTGGGACCTCCTCGTGACTTTGACACTGGCTCTACCAATTGAACTGCAAACTATTCTACAGTAAAATTTTACTTATTTGATTGAATTTCACGACTCCTGGTCTTCTTTCATCATATCTGATCCTAGGTCTTACAACTGTACGTACAATAAACTAATAAGTTCAAGAAACAATTACTGTAATTCCCCTAAAGTATTTTTTCCCGTTCCAAAGGCTGTAGTGCTTTCCTAGTGACCACACTGACTTACTACAGGTGAAATTTTGACAATAACTCATTTACTGTACGTACAATAAACTAATAAGTTCAAGAAAAAATTACTGTAATTCCTCTAAAGTATTTTTTCCCGTTCCAAGGGCTGTAGTGCTTTCCTACTGATCAGACTAACTTACTACAGGTGAAATTTTGACAATAACTCCCTTACTGTACTTACAATAAACTAAAATGTTTATGAAACAATTACTGTAATTCCCCTAAAGTATTTTTTCCCGTTCCAAGGGCTGTAGTTCTTTCCTACTGATCAGACTGACTTACTACAGGTGAAATTTTGACAATAACTCCCTTACTGTACGTACAATAAACTAAAATGTTTATGAAAAAATTACTGTAATTCCCCTAAAGTATTTTTTCCCGTTCCAAAGGCTGTAGTGCTTTCCCAGTGACCACACTGACTTACTACAGGTGAAATTTTGACAATAACTCCCTTACTGTACGTATAATAAACTAAAATGTTTATGAAACAATTACTGTAATTCCCCTAAAGTATTTTTTCCCGTTCCAAGGGCTGTAGTGCTTTCCTACTGATCAGACTAACTTACTACAGGTGAAATTTTGACAATAACTCCCTTACTGTACTTACAATAAACTAAAATGTTTATGAAACAATTACTGTAATTCCCCTAAAGTATTTTTTCCCGTTCCAAGGGCTGTAGTTCTTTCCTTCTGATCAGACTGACTTACTACAGGTGAAATTTTGACAATAACTCCCTTACTGTACGTACAATAAACTAAAATGTTTATGAAAAAATTACTGTAATTCCCCTAAAGTATTTTTTCCCGTTCCAAAGGCTGTAGTGCTTTCCCAGTGACCACACTGACTTACTACAGGTGAAATTTTGACAATAACTCCCTTACTGTACGTACAATAAACTAAAATGTTTATGAAAAAATTACTGTAATTCCCCTAAAGTATTTTTTCCCGTTCCAAAGGCTGTAGTGCTTTCCCAGTGACCACACTGACTTACTACAGGTGAAATTTTGACAGTAACTCCCTTACTGTACGTACAATAAACTAATAAGTTCAAGAAAAAATTACTGTAATTCCCCTAAAGTATTTTTTCCTGTTCCAAAGGCTGTAGTGCTTCCCTAGTGACCACACTGACTTACTACAGGTGAAATTTCCACAATAACTCCCTTACTGTACGTACAATAAACTAATAAGTTCAAGAAAAAATTACTGTAATTCCCCTAAAGTATTTTTTCCCGTTCCAAAGGCTGTAGTGCTTTCCTAGTGACCACACTGACTTACTACAGCTGAAATTTCCACAATAACTCGCATACTGTACGTGCTATTATCAAATGTTTATTAGAAAAATTACTGTAATTCCCCTAAAGTATTTTTTCCCGTTCCAAGGGCTGTAGTGCTTTCCTACTGATCAGACTGACTTACTACAGGTGAAATTTTGACAATAACTCCCTTACTGTATGTACAATAAACTAATAAGTTCAAGAAAA